ACGCCTAAAATTGGAATTATGTCTCTTACCCGTTGTCGTAATGGTGGAAATTATAAATCGAGTATAAAGTTAAAATATGATTCGTTTATTGAATATTGATTAAATTGCTTCGAATTAACTATTGTTAGGGAAAATTCTTTAACTCGAAAAGAAACTTCGAAATTTTCTTTAACTCGAAAAGAAACTTCGAAATTAGCGATCCTCAATCAGGAAATATATTTCGACTATTTCTTATCCCTAAAGAATATTCCCTTTTGATAAAATGTGAATCGAATGTAAATTGACAATAAACATTTGCGTTAAATAAAATTACTTGTTATCTAGAGAAACATGCATCACTTTGTTTGTTTTAAAATACGAGATGAATTAATTAACAAAATAAAGTTGATTTATTTCAAGTTCACATTTTGTTGAAATGCGTATCGGATCGCATCACTTCGACCAAGTGAAGCTTTCCACGCTCATTCTATAAATCGGTGTTCTTGAAAAACATTCGAATAATATTAATAAAGAAATACAATGAAAGTATATACAAATAGAAATATGCAAAATAAAATATTTACAACAAATGGAGAGCATTTTTTTTACATATGATACGAATACATAACATAAAAATATGTACATACATAAGAAATTGAAATAAAAGAAAATTAATATTACAAACCAAAATATAATGACCAAAAAGTAAGTACTTGAAATTACAAGGACCAAAATTAGCAAAAACATAAACTCAAAGGACCAAAATAGTACAAACAAGAATTTAAAGGACTAAAATGGCAAAAATAGAAACTTAAAGGTCTAAAATAGTAAAAACAAAAAGTTAAAGGACTAAAATAATAAAAACATAAACTAAAAGGATTGAACAACAATAATTAACAAATCAGAACCACAGTCAACATTTTAAACAAATATAGATACTAAAATGAGAATAACCCATAATAATGCTAGGACTAAAATAAACTACATTAAAATATGTAAGGGAAAATAACAATTAAACCAAAATATAATCACATGCACATTAATGACCAAAATGACATATTTATGAATATCGTAACCAAAATCCAATATTAACCAAAGTAATACAATACATCAAATAGGACTTAAATACAAAATTTAAAAAACAGTACTCGAAACATAATAATGCAAAATTTCATTAAATGGTCCAAATGGAGAGATTACAAAATAAAAAGGATATGGTAAGCTATTAGAGAGAGTTCTAAAACTCTCTCAATAGAGAGAGAGAGAGAGTTCTAAAACTCTCTCAATATTCCTCGTCGGAGAGAAAAAACCGCACCTCATCGGCAGTAGCCACGGCGGAGACCACGACGTCTCACGGTGGCTGAAGGGACCCAAACCCTCCAAAAGCTTCCCCCTCTCACCCTTAACCCGAAAACAACCTCCATTTAGCCTAAAAAACACCCCATCACCCTAGATCTAGAGGGTTTACCTCTCGAGAAACGACGACTCCGATGACCTTAGGGATTCCACAGCCTCGAACCAAGGTGAGAACCTCCTTCTCTATTGTTTTGATTTTTATTGTAGTTTTGAATGGGTTTTTTCTCTTAGGGTTGTTTGTTTTTTTTCTTCATTGTTTTCTCTTTTTTTCCTTTTTTGTTCGAAACCCTTCCCCGAATCTCTCTCTATTTCCTCTCTCAAAAATCCCGAATGGTCCCCATCCAAATCTTCTCCCCGTTTTTATTTTATCTCTGCCAATGTGATTGATAGCCTTGAATTTGCTTTTGATATTTTATTTCTTTGCTTTTCTGATTGATTAGAGCTTGTGATTGATTTTTCATTTCTGTCAATGTGTTGGTGCAAGCGGTCGGCTGAGACAACTCTAGCAGGTCGACAGTGGCGGCGGTAATATTATACCCCTAAGGTTAGGGTTTCAAAAACACTAGGGGGTCGGGTCGAACCCGGATTCGGGTGGATCGGGTCTGATCCCAGTTGGGTTGAAGAGTGGGCGTCATTTGTAGTTGGGCTTCAGGTTGGATTGGTACCAGGTCTGGGCTTAAATTGGTCTTGGGTCTGCTGAGTGTAATTGAGTTGGCTTGTAATGGTGGGCTGTTGGACCTACAAAAATAATGTAATTAGATATTGTATTAATAATAATAATAATAATAATAATAATAATAATAATAATAATAAAATATTTTTGCAAGACCCGGACAAAAACGGGTGTCTACAGAAACAACTGCAAGAAAAAAAGGATTTAAAATTAATGAAAATAAATGAATAAAATATTGAATAAAAAATAATAATGATAAAATAAATAAAGTAGAAGAATTCAATAAAGATGATATAGCCTCAGATTTTGCATAGCCTCAATTTCGATCAATCATAAAATTTTCCTTTCGTGATGTATGCCGGTTACAGTCAACAAGGCCCAACCCCTATAACTAACTCTTCTCTCCTTAATCGAAATTTCCAAGTCTATCTCCGAAATTCGATCTTTGTTAGTCTAGCCACGCCTATCACCGTTAGATCCAGAATAACTTTAAGTTCTGAAAAAGCCCGACTCGAGTTATAACGTCTCACTGAGAATCGAAATCAATCTTGATTCCCCTTAAAGGGCGCCACTAATTTTGTTCAAGGGAAGCCAAATTAAGACCAACCGATCCGACTTCCAAACTTGAAGCAAAATAGTCTTCAAATCAACATGCACCTTTTGAGTTGAAGATGTAATAACTTTTAGGAGAATGACTGATTATTACTCTCAGCTTCTAGAGAATCAAAAATACAATCTAAAGGTATGAAGATCAAGATTCAATTCGCACGAATGGAATTGAGTTTCAAAAAAACCTTTGGCTAAGTAGAAGTTTAGCCAAGCATGGAATGGATCATGCTTAGCATTATGAAAAGAAAACAATGAAAGAAAATTAAGAAAGATAGAGATGAAAGAAAAGTATAACTTCAATAAATAACAAAGAAAAATAAATTCCAATATAAGTCTCAACTGTTGAACCTAAGGGGTATTTATAACCCGAGAATTCTAAGCAAATAAAATAACTCATTCCTAAAATAATCAAACTAAAAATCCTAAATTAAAAAGGTTTATCACAAAAGATAATTTTTTTTAGCCTTCTAGTTGAATTCTTCTTCATCTTCTGGATAACCTTGTCACAGATAAATTCTAAATTAAATATTCAAGGAAGTTTTGCTTGTCTTCTATAAAATGCTGAATATAGACTGTCAAAATCTACTAGTTTTTAGGCTAATTAATCCAATGAAGTTCTTGTCCAAAATGAACTCAAAATAAATATAAATCAATAATATTCAAGCGATAAATGAGGGGTAAATAATAATAAAAATATGTAATATTAAATTCTCTTCAATATTGATACGAATTATGATTTCTTTTTTAATTCTGTTTAAATATAAATTCTTATGGGCAACTGTATTACAATGACGAGGAACAAATAACACATGAAAGAATATGTTAGACTGCAAAATATTACGGGCTTCAGGCAAATAAAAACCAAAGGTAGATAAGTCCACTGTATCACCCCCAACCCGTATCCAACCCGGATACGAGTCCGAAGTGTCACAATGACTTTTCAAATCATTTACTTTTATAAGATAAGGGAAAAACTTAATTTCACATTTAAATAAAACTGAATAATTTATATTAAATAAAAACATATGGTTTTACAAAACCTATCATAGCATATCCGATTAAATTCTTAATTACATGCCAACTACATTCAGTATAACCAAATCCATACGATTCAATTCAATTCTTTTCTGATCTGATCTTCGAATATAAAATTAAAAGTGGTAAACTACACAAATAATGACTAATACATGAATAAATTTTTTGTTTCTCATTAAAGTATTAAAAGTAACAAGTTGATCGAAACTATTTTATAATATATGTTCGAAAATGACCCGAACATATACATAATCTACCAATACAAAAGAAAACAGTCAAAGTAATACCAACTGTTATCATAATAAATAATTTAATGTCACGGTGAGATATCAAACATAAATAGATGATCGTGTTTAAATGTGTCACAATGAGATATCAGACACATTTGTACATCTTAATTTACTTAGTATTTGGAAAATAAAATTTAAATTATACAAGTATGATTGTTTTATAATTTTTTTTCGATCGAGATATCAGAGATAAAAAGAAACAGATACATTAACATTATCAGAAAGAGAATTTTATTAAATCATAAAATTGATGTGATATGGATAACAATGATACATTATTACATGCCACACTTATTTGTAATATTAAAAAAAATTAATATTAACGTAAACATAAGAGAATCCTCAATGTCATACCATATTGATTATAGTAGTTAGAATAATTAATTTCCTTTTGGATCATATGTTTAATACGTGAATATATCAAATGGTCTTATTGTTAAAAAAAGTAATATTTTTTTAGAAGTTTTAAGTTCGAGTAGTAGCATCGGCAGGATATATTGTTAATTGATTAAGAAAGTTCTGAACATATATTAGCTTATAATCATATCAGATTATTTAAAAATTATATATAAATAACATAAAAGACTTAAAACGTGTTTTGATATTTATATTGGATTTTAAAATATTTGATATATCATATATTTATATTTTATATTGATTTATTATTTCTCTTATCCGTTGATATAAACAAATTAAATCACATTAAATTTCATTTATGTTACATTCATATCGTTTGGATTGCTTTTCTAATCACAAATTACTGATATGGATTGCAATATCATATGGTTTACGGCTTCATCAACGTATAATGATATAAGCCATGGATGAAGCAAATGATGGAATTTTCCAATTCCCCGAACTTGAAAACCAAGTGGCAGGCCGTGTTTGTAGTACGACCTCTAATTATTCCCATAACACTTGTCATGTTTTTGCAACAAGAAGAATATGAATCAATACCAGACACGTAAAATCCTAGCCCAATTTACCATTTCCTACATCTTTTATCTCTTCCTTTTTTCTAGATGGAAATTCAAAATGTTGGACGATTTAACAGGGGATTGGGATTGGTAAAATGATATAAGCCATGGATGAAGCAAATGGCGGTTCTAATCAATCTCAGACCAAGATGTCCATGACAACTAAAACACCTCTGTCGGATATAGCAGAAGCGTTTGAGGAGCTGTCGGAATTGTTGGGGTCTCAGAACAAGGATCAAGAACTTCCGCTGGATACATTCTGTGAAGCATGTTCTCTGGTTTCTGTTCTTTTCAGCTGTCTCGGCCTCGCCTTCAAATTCGCCGAGTTGGAGTACGTCGCCAAGGTTTATTGCTTTTTTCGAAAGAAAGAAAAATATATGAAAAATAATTTAATTTTGTTATCCTTTTACATGGGTACAAGTTTGTGTCATATGCAGTGAGAATTTCATCAAGGTGTAGTTTGGATGGGCCTGGATCAGATTTTCAATTAATTTGAACCAACTTAAAAAATTTATGTCATTCATCTAAAACCCGATCTGATTTAAGTTTGGGGTATCCTCACACTACCCAAAATCTTACTTATTTTTTAGATAAAATCCAAATTATATTTGACCTGACATAAATATATTTATAAAAAAATTCTTAATTTTATTCAATAAAATAAGGATCTAATTAAAAAAATAATATAAAAAGGAGTAGTGTTATAATTATCTTTAAATATATAAGTTATAACAATATTATTTTTTGAGTTGGGTTGAATTGAGTATTTTCACCGTAAACACGAACTTGATCCGACCTGAACTCAAAATTTAAAAAAAATGATAAAAATATAATCGAATCAGGTCAAAATCTATCAAGTTGAGGTCCTTGCTCATCCCTACTAGTTTCTTGTATTTGCATTTCCATTTCTCATGTGATAAATGGTTTTGATCAGGTACATGATCTGGTGGAAGCATCCAAGAGGTTTGCCACCTTAGAAAATGTTCTTGATCTCGATGTTGCTAACGACACGGTGAAGACACCGGGAAGCCATTCGCGTAACCTGCGTCGAGTTAGACAAGGCCTTGATCTCATCCGCGCTTTATTCGAAGAATTTGTGTCGTCTGAGTATGGTTATGCACTTTGCCCTTCCCTGATGCCTTTTTTTATTTTCTTTTTCTCTCTATCATCTTACTTACTACAATGAACAGAATGGACATCATTGGAGATAATAAGCAACTCTCTTGTTTTTGGTTCCAAATTGTAGCTGTTACTCATTGAGGGATGCGGCTTCAACAGCTTATGCTCAAGTGTGTGCACCGTACCACACATGGACTGTCAGGACCGCTGTTTCTGCTGGAATGTATACTCTTCCAACAAGGGAAGAACTTCTGATCAAGCTCAATGAAACAGGTATGTTTTGGATTATTACCTAATTCTACCCAATGTTTATATGACATAATGATAAAATTAGCTCTCAAAGTTCATTTAATAGTCACTTTGGTCTCTGTTCTTTTCCTTGGAACATTTTAATCCTCAACATTTCAATCTTAATCAAAATAACTCATGTTGGATAAAAACATCAGTTGACTAATGATTCATGAATGTTACTAACGTTATATTTTCATATATATTTCATTGGTGATGTGACATATATCATATCATCACTTTAGGTGACATGCCACATGCTACATCGCCATTTTGAGTGATGCAGCGTGACATGCCATATCATCACTTCAGGTGACATTGTGCATGCCACCTGACATAACAACAATCACACATGTGAAAATGTTACGTCAGCAACATGCATTAATCGTTAGCAAACTAACAGTTTCTATCTAATATAAATTATTTTAACAAAAAACTAAAACGTAAGAGATTAAAATACTCCAGAAAATAGAATAGAGGCCAAAATAATTATTTAAGTAAACGTTGAAGATAATTTTATCATTATACCTATTTATATTTAGGATGTATTTTCTTAATATTTTATAATGTCTTTGATCACCATATATAAACATGTATACATGGTTTACATGTATTTATGAAAATAACTGAAATTCAGTCGGGGAAGGATGCATATGCAAATGCATACCTATTATTTTAAAATAAATATTAAATATAATTCAATATATTTAAGGAAGAAGAAAAAAATAAGAAATTTTGTATACCCATTATTAAAAAAAAGAGTATTAATATTTTAAACTTTTATCTTTAAATTTCTAGATCCATCACTGAATTTAGCTTACAGATAAATCTTTGATGCATACATGTGTGCGCATATATATTTGCAGATCATACAGCAGAGAAGAAAATGAAAAGGTATATCGAAGCTTCGCGTCCAGTACTATCGTACATTGATAAGCTTTATATTTCTAGGAATGTCACCTTGGACTGGTGACTCATTACCTCAATTGGGGGAGAAGAAAGAACACATATTTTATTCAACCACCATATACTTCTGTATATATACATATAAAACTACCTTGTATACTCATACAATACACCAAGTAATTGTATGTATAATTAAAAATCTGTTTAAGATTTTAAATTTTATAAAAGTTAAGTCAAGTGTATAAATATAATAAATAAACACCTATACATGTAGTGACCTGTAAATAATAGTTTAAATCACATATGTAATTAATGCAATATTGATTTTTTGTTTGACATGACTTTAAATTATGGGTAAATCATAAATTTCATCACTTAATTTCCTTCTTACTTCTATTTTGGTAATTGTATTTTAAAAATTCTAAATTTTTTATCACTCAACTTTAGAGATTAAATTTTTGTCATTCAGTTATTATTTTTCTATCTCTATTCTGATTTGTTTTCTTTTTTAATTAAGTTTTGGGTCACGTAGAGATCAACTCAAATTTTGACCATCGCTCATCGTGATTATTGGTCACTGTGTCGACCATCATCATTGGCGGTCATTAAATCGTAAATTTTTTTATCATCATATTTTGATTCTGGAGTTTGAATCCAACCCTTTTCTCACTTCAACCCGAGCACCCAGGCATAGTGGAAATAGGAATAATGGAAAACATGAGAATGCAAACTATAATCATGGTTGGGCTAAAGGAAAAAATGAAAGAGTTGTAAAATTAATGAGTACGTGTAACAACTCAGATATCTGAGTCAACATTTGGGCGTTAATCTAAGTATAAATGAAGCAATTAATAAGCAAGGTTAAAGTCGTTAGACAAACTATGAGCATAATTGAGTGGAATTAGACTTAAATATCCATAAAAATGGAATTTTTGAATTGGAGATAGAGATTAAAGAAATAAAAGTGTACTCTATCTATTTATGAAAATCGTGGTTGGCTTTCATTAAATTGTTTTTGTTTGTACGTGGGAAAGAAGGAGACAAGGCTCACCAAGTATATCACCCCCTTTTACTTTCGTCTCTCTCTCTCTATTTTTCAAGTTTTGGTTTGATAAAGAATCAAATTTTCTAGACTTGAGGATTTATCCAGGATTGAAGAGGGTAAGAATCATTGCTAGCATCTCAAGAGCACCAAAATAAGCTCATCACTTTCATGAGAGCTGGTGTGAAGCTATTTGGAGATTTTGGAATTGTTTAAGCGATGAGACTTTTCCAAACTTCTTTCATTGTATTTCATGATTCTAGATTTATAACTCCGAAATTGAGTGGGTGGTTTGCACTAAGGTAGTAGACTTATAACTCCGAAATGTTTCATGAAAGTCATAAATTTGATGTTTGTATGTCAAATGTATTTATTTTGAGTGTTTTTTTTAGTTAAATCATGATATGATGATTTGGGTGGCATTAAGTTAGCATACCGTAAGAATGATGACATATGATGCAGTAGCCAAACTTGATATTTCTTGTTGGGGGCATTTTAAAAAAAAAATTGTATGTACTAATTAAACTCATAAAACTTATAAATCCTTAAAATTCACACGTAAAAATTTAAAATTTAAAATAAAATATATCAATATTCCCACGTTAACTTACATAAATCAAAATTACGTTCTACAAACGGAAGATTAATGTCTTCAACTTCAACAATCGAAAACTTAAGAGGAGATTAATTACAAATCTGCTCAAACCTTGAAGTTTTCAATGGCATACTGATTTTTATATTATCAAAGTATTTTTTGAAAAAAAGTTTAATATTTTTTTCTCATAATTTAACACTAACACAACCTATAACATATAACCATAAAAATTTATTAATTTAATTTTAGCATAAATTAACATTGTAATCACTAAATTTTCCCTCCAATATATTACTATTATTAAATTTAAAAATACAAAAAAAGTAAAAAAATAAAATACAAGGGAACATAATCCCATAATATCCGGTGCCTCCTGCCATCTCTACTGCTACCACCGCCAACGTTTGACCCGCCGATCCTCGACAACACCAAACGCGGCGACTACTACCAAGGTTTGAGATTTGACCAAACTGACATTATTTAACTGAATATTTATCTTTTTAGCACCGTTTGATATATATTTCCCGAAGTGGCACCCTTTCGGTTGAGCTGGCGAAAGGCGCATCCCCGGGGACGCGCATTCAAGGGATTCTGATGACTCAACTGTCCCGCTGGTATTTTGTTTAATAATAAATATTTTATTTTTATTATTATTATAAATTAGTAATATATTATGTAAAGTGTTTCAATTATAATGTAAGAATTATCAAATGTATTTTGTTAATGTGTGTTAAAGGTAGAGTGAATTATCTACATTAATATGATAGAACAATATATGAAAACCAGTTTTGATTTTATTGTAGTTATAGGAAAAATGTATGAAATTATAATATTACACATATGGTTATATTATTATTTTTGATTTTGATTATCGATTTATTAATTTTATCAGTTAATTATTTAAATGTTATCAATCTAGTCATCTCTTATCAATATTTAACGAAAATATTGATGCATAAGTTAATAAATTAGTATAATTACATATTTAATATTCAAGACTTACATATTTTATGAAATTAGTCTTATTGAAAATTTAATTTAATAAATTTAATCCTCCAATCAGAACATGAAATGTGTCATCGTATACATAAAGTTTTTAATAACTTTTAATTTGTTTAATTTAATATTTTTCTCTACTTAGAAGATGGAATTATTATTATATTTAAAAAAAATTTATAACTAATAATATATTAATTATTATATTAAATAAATATATTGAAAATATTTATGTATTTAAAAGTTAAAAAAAATTATTTAGGTGTTCATACATTGACAAATTATATAAAATGCAATAACATTAAATTATTAGAAACAAAAACATTCATTTAAACACAATATTAATTACATAAGAGCTAACGGTTATATGATGATAACAGAGCTGGACATTTTTTTCTATTGTGCCCGATGTTTCTACAATGCCCACATCGTTTTTGTTCTGTTGACTTCTCCCGAATATCCATATCACAATGTATTCTAGTAGATTTTGGACGACCTGAGTCCCTCAATAGCAATGGATCTGGTACAATTGTAAGCCAAGTTTGAATCTCATTTGGGTCTCTTTCGTTTCCTATGGGCGGAAACTCAAATTCATGTACCTTGAATACTTGTGAAAGTTGGTATACGGGATCAACATAATTTTTGTAGTCCAAATGCGAATGTGAGCAAGCTGCAATGACATGAGAGCATGGATATTTGAGTGCTTGAAAGAAACCACAATCGCACCACCTCTCTTGCAGATTAACTCTGAAAGAGTTAGCTCCAATCCCTTGCAGCGGACGTGGCATTTCGGTTACACGAAACAATTCACGGGTGCGAGAAAAATTTGTAACTAACATCCCATTTGATGCAGCCACTTTTTTCTGTAAATCAACTACTAGTCTTGGGTGGTAAATATGGTCGTTTTGCATCCAAGTAAGAGCTTGTCCACCGAGCTTTGCAAAGAGTTGCCCCAAACGAAAATAAGTCGTTTTAACTAATGTCGTGACTGGTAAATGACGCGCCCCCTTTAAGGTTGAATTTATTGCTTCAGCCAAGTTTGTTGTCATATGACCATAGCGATACCCCCGTCATATGCATTTGTCCACATTTCTTTGCTGATGTCCATAATGTACTCGCACCCCTTCTTATTTTTGCCAAACAACTCTTGTAGCATCGACTCAAACCTTTGAGGTAAGAGTTCGTAACCTAAGCCATTAGGAATATGTAATAGTTAATATGAAGTATAAATAAGTAATAAGAAATTGATAGAAAAATTGGGAAAAAGTAACATACCCATCCGCACGACTAACTGACGTTCATCGTTCTTCTTGTATTTTCCGTAATAGTTTGCAGCAATATGACGGACACAATAACGATGTTGAACATGTGGAGGTCTATACATTGTACCCAAATAGTCCATTGCTGCTTTTATCCTGGCTCCTCGGTCTGAAATAATGCATACTCATTCCCTGGTGACAACATGTAAACGTAAATTTTTAAGGAAAAAAGCCCAAGACTCAGTGTCTTCTCCTTGAACGAGGGCAAACGCAACAGGAAGAATATTGCGGTTTCCATCTTGGATCACAGCCAATAATAAAACTTGCTTGTATTTCCCATACAAGAAAGTACCATCAATTTGGACAACTGGTTTACAGTACTTGACTGCATTAATACACTGAGGGTAAGTCCAAAAGACACGGTAAAATTGGCAGCGATCGTGAACCATTCGATCATTCACGTAATGATGTTGAGTTTTGAACTCAATAATTGTCCCGGAATTAAGTCTTTGCACAACATGAAACCAACTGGGCAGCTCGTTGTAAGAGGAATCCCATTCGCCATGAAGTTTGCAAATGGCATTCTGTTTTGCCAACCACACTTTTTTATATGAGACAGTGTACCCATATTGTGACTGTATAGCAGAAATCAACACTGCAATAGCTATATGAGAGCTTTGCTTCACAATGGGCATGATTGCTTGGCAAATAATGTTGGAGTCCAAGTTGGGATGATCCTGGTTTATACCTCTTGCACAACATGTATGAGGACCGTTGTATCTGGTTAGTTCCCATAAGTTGTTCTTCCTTTTCCTCTTTGATACACGGACCATCCATTGACATCCGTTGTCACGTTGGACGCAGTAGCAGACATATTTCTCCGTATTAGATCGATCAACTCGGGACTGAACTGAGTTACGAATATTGTAACTCTTTATTGCCATCATTGCTTCCTCATTCGATGCGAACTCCATTCCAATATGTAAATTACCGTCATTGACTGATGATTGAAGTCCATAGTTGCCAACATCAGGAAGATATGGAAATTCAGGCTCATACATTGCATCATAATCAGCCTCATACATATGTGCAGGAAGTTCGGATGGTGTTGTATTTATCGAAACGTCATCCTCGTCATCATCAGAATGTACGTTAAACTGTGGTGAGTCAGGTTC